AGTATAGTTACTACCTTCTGCAGGTGGACTATTATGGTCAAGCAACAACTGATTTTCAACAGCGTCAAGCTGATACGCAATCGTAAGAAATTGGGATGCACTATAACGTTGACGCTGATAAGCCTGTAGGCAGACATTTGTGGCTGTCAAACCASAAGAATTTGGTAGGTCTGCCCGCAGATCCGAATCGGTCACCACTGGAAAGCCAGATGTGATCTGGTATATATAGTACGCAAGAGGTTCTGAACAGGGGGAGTTATAAGGAAGAAGATAAAAAACTGAATTCATTTTTTCCTGTTTTTCTTTCTCTTTTTTCACATTTGCGCTCTGATATTCTTGTGACAATATATATCGTATATATATGGTAGAAAATATTTTTCTGACTCTCTTTCTCTATTTCTTATTCTGGCATTCTTTTTTGCTTTACTCTTCCCCATTGTTGGGGTGTTTTGTTTTGCGGACCTACTGTATGGTTCCGTTATTTTACTATGGATATGGTAGAATCTGTTTTGGTGGTGATTTTGGCACCCTTGTCTGCATCCCGGTTGGTTTAGTCCCGTTGTTCGGCTAACAGTAGGTGGAGCTCCGTGGCGGTGATTTCATGTGGGACTTGTCAGCCGGGTTTTTTCTTATCTTTTTGGCATTCTAGGTGGTTGTTGCCCGTTGTTCGGCCTGTGCGAAGGGGGCGGTGCTTTTTTGTGGGAATCGACATCTAGGATTGTCTTTTATGTTTTTTTTTGCTGTTGGTGGTGTCCCAGTAATTTAGTTTAGACCAGCGAATCGGCGACTTGACAGTTTAAATCGATACCAATTTTTGCAACAACAACAACAAAATAACAATCGCAAAGGATTCTTGGAGCTGGCACGCACGAAAGGTATGTTATCTGGGATTGTTTGTTTGCAGGCAAGGGCGTTTTTGAATCCTGGTTTGTCCCGTTGTTTGGCCCTGATGATGGGGGCGGTGCTTGCATGTGGGACTCGTCATCTACGATTGGTTTATGTTTGTTTCCCCCTGTTTTGTTGTATTTGGCTGTTCCCTTCCTCTTTTCTTTGCCTCTTTACCTTTTGGCTGTGTGCAAGTGGGTCGATATGACACACGGGGGTGGGGGCAGCCGCCGCTCAACCTACATCCACGTGGGCGGCCTTGTACGCAAAAGAGGTTCTGAACAGGGGGAGTCTTGTAAGGAAGAAGATTAAAAATGAATAAGTTTTTCTTGTTTCTGTTTTTCGCTTTGGCGCTCTGATATCATGTGACAATATATATATTATACGCATGTATTGATCTATCTGATATCCCTCCATTCATCCGCATGTTCATGTATCTGTC